TGGTTGCTACAGCCTTCCCTTCAAGCCCTCTCCTCCCTCAGTCAAAACAGGAAGGCAGGAGGGGAGTCGCAGCCAAGGCCCCTTGACCTTCCCAGGAGGCAGCCGGTATTTATGTGTAGGCACTGGCTTGACGATCCGAGCGGCGATGACAGGGATGAGTTATAAAGTGATGCTGGTATAAGTGTAGTTTTAACGAGGCATAGGATTTCCAGGGTTTAGGGTTGTTTTTAGCACCTCTCCTCCCAGCRCCGGCTCCTCCCTGCTCTCTTGCTGTCCCTCACTCCGAGGGCTCCGCCGGTTCCTCCGCGGCACGGGGTGATGCCCGGGGCTCGTCCTGACGAGCCCCATGTAGCCCCCCGGGGCTGTCCCTGCCACGGCCGCCCTCTCCCTCCTCGTTCCCCTCACAGCGGCGGGTGCCCGGGGAGTTTTGGGTCTGCCAGCGGCGTGGGGGCCCTCAGGGAGGGAAAGCTGGAGGCCGCGCATCTGCTGGAGCCGCTCTGGGCGGCCTCGCCAGGAGCAGCCTCGCAGGCCGGCGGGGGCAGAGCTGGCCTCAAGCTTTAAAGCTGCTCCTGGATGTTCCAAAGCCACTGCTCCTGCTGCCGTTCCCTCTCGGACCTGTCACAGAGGGGATGCTTGGAGGAAGGAATGGAAAGAAAGAAGTAGTCTTTTTCTGACTGAGGGTCTGAAATCCTCAACGGTGTACTTGAGCTTGCTAGGCTTATTTATGAAGGGCAGCCTATTGAGGATGGCCAGGACTCTAATACCCTTTATATGTTTCTTCCCCAAATGAAGGAAAGCACAAAACTGACTTCAGCTTGTTGGAATCTGTACCAAAAAGAGAACTAAGCTTTTAGTTTTAATATATTTATTAGTTACTCTTAAAAATACAAATAGAAATACCAATTAAAGCAGCAAAAAATTATTTTAAGTGCTTTTCTGATAAACAATCTAGGTTTATAACTACTTCTGTAAGCCAGTGAAGAAGAGTCTTTTCTTTCTATTAACCAGTGAGCCCATAGCAAATGCATTCCCTGCATTTTCCTGCTCTGCTAGGAGAATAAGGCAAAAAGACACTCCCCCTTCTCCCCTCAGCACCTCACTAGYGGAGTCTTCAGTCTCCAAGAATGATCTTAATTCTGGTAATTCTGACCTGCACCCAGCCAAAAGATAAACTCACTCTTGGGGGATAAAGCTTTCAGGAAAATTATTAATCTGTTTTTCAAATAGACCTTTCACAATGTTCTAGCTCTGTTTCATTTGAGTGGTGGCTTCGCTGAGTCAGGAAGCCTGTGCACAGGACCAGTCTTTGGCCAATGGACTTTTTCCTGCTTTTTTTTTTTTTTTAATTTTTTTTTTTTGTATGTGTGTGTACGTATGTGTTCAGCATTTCACAACAGCAGAAGCATGACTTATCTTCCAAAGTTTTCTTCGGGAGAACAATTAAGTTATTTAAGACTAGCTCAGCAAGCTGCTGACACACTTCGCTTGCGAGCGCGCGGCTCTGCAGTTTATCTTGACAGAGCCCAAAACACAAACGCTGGCCTCCTGCCTCCGTTTCCTTGTAACCAGCCATCAGAGAAAGATTTCCCCACTTCTCTGCTAACTAGATATGCCTGCTTTGCTTAACCAGCAAGTGCATTCCTGCTCTTCGGGAAGAACACTCTGCGCTCATTACGAGCTACTGGGCTGCAGCGTGAGATTGAGAAAACAGATTTGTTTTGGACAGCCCCCTCTGACACGGAGGTGCCAGGGTGAACGGCCTTTGAAGAAAGTCTGCATCCAAGAGCAAGATGAATAATCTGACAAGTGAATGGCTCTGTATTTTATATCAGCGTGCAGAATGGCTAGAAGCTGCAGGGATCTGACTCACGCGCAGAAATAGCGCGCTGGGAACGGCCGGTCCCGCCGCCGCCACCACCGGCTGCCTGCTCTCACTGTTGAGGAATCGGCGGCTCAGACGCCGCTTCTTAAGTGATTCAGCCACAAAAGGTTACAACTAGGTGTTGGGGGGGAAATGTGTCAGAGCTGGTTTCTAACTTTTCTTTTTAAGGCAGCCCTTGAAAGAGCCATGAGTTGTCACAAACCCCTTCAGCTCTCCAGGCAAGAGGATAGAAACCCTGCCAGGCATCCCCATGGAAATGGTGCCAGTCACAAGTCAGCGCTCGGCGGCGCAGCTTGTCCCAGCGCAGCCCCGCTCTGCTGTCAAGGCAGGGCTTGGGCACAGTCCCTCTGATCTCTCATCAGGCAAGCAGGCTTTCTGAGGTGGGTGAGCTTTAAACTATGACCTGTTTTAAGTGTCCTGCCCCATTATTGATCTGCAGCTGCAAACAATTCTGCAGCCCCTCTGCCAGTTGCCTTCTGCAGTGAGTTCCTCCACTCAAGCACACAGTCCTAAGCCTAGGCTTGCAGTTCGGTTTCTCTGGATAGCCACAACAGTATTTCACTTGCTTTTCTTAGAAAAAAATGGGGCTTTTGCAAGTGCTTAGAAGTATTTCTTGACTTCTCAGCTCCTCCTCTGATTAAGAACTTGCTAGCATGCTTATCGTGCGCAAAGGGAGACACAGCTCAAACTACTCCAAATGTGGAGAGAGGGAGAAACAGGGGTTGCAGATGTGCACCCATCCTGAATGAGGATGCAGGTACACAGCAGCTTTCACTGCTCCAGATTAGAGATGTGGTGGCTATGCCCTGTCTGCCCTATCCTTTCTCCTCTCTTCTGTCAGCAGAAGAGATCCCTAAGAAGGGCTGCATCCAGCGGGTGAGTCAGCTGGAAATCAACCCTACCTAAAAATGACAAGTTTTTGCCGGAGCAGCTCCCAGATAAGGCTTGCTGACCAGCTGCATCCACAAGAGGGTAGAGCAGGGAGCAGGACTACGCTGGGCTGGGGGAGAGCAAGCAGGAGTGTCGATGTGAAGTTAGAGAAGTCTGAGCGTCTGCAGAGTGAACCCCACACAAGTTCACGTTGCTGCCCAGGCAGCTGCCGCTGCGAGTGGGAATCCCACACATCACTCCTCTGCTCGGGGGTTAATTTTATGCTCAGCTCCCCARTAGTTTTAGCTAATTCCACAGCTTCTCCCTGCATCTCCCAGCAGTGCAGATGGGAAGCGCATCAAGGCAGGAACATCCCTTCTGGTAGCAGCCTCACTTCTGTCAGCTTTAAACCGCTGCAAAACTGCAACTCGGAGGCTAAGGACACTGTATAGAAATCTGGAAAGAGACAAGTCAAATCTCTTCAAAGCAATTTTGTCACTGAATTATGCAACATTCTGCTTTGCTACACTGAAGCTCTTTTTAAAGATCTGAAGTTTGGTTTCTTAGCCCTTATTCAAAGAGCACCCCTAGATGAAAATATCTCAAAAAAAAAAAAAAAAAAAAAAAAAAAAAAAAAAAAAAAAAAAAAAAAAAAAAAAAAAAAAAAAAAAAAAACACACCACTGTAGTGATGCAGGTGGCAGTGCCCAGCCCCCGAACCGTAGGCAGTGTCACCCCCCTATACCGTTCTCCCTGGGCACAGTACAACCAGAACTGCAGCATTAGGGACTTGTGCAACGCTTTCCGCATCACTTCTGCAATGCCTACAGCAGGGTTCATTGTGATTAATGTGGCATAGTGCAACTAGTGATTGTTAAGCGACTTTAATCAATTGTTTTAATGACAAAAAAGAAAACTTTAAAATATCTTGTGGCATTGTGGTGCACATAATACGACAACATATATGGTAGACACAAAATCACATCTCAGTTCTGATGCTATTTTACAAGAACGGTTCTAACCACCACTTCTCTTTCCTTCAAAACAGGACAAAGACCTGCTCAAGGATCACTCGGTTTAGGAGGGCACAAGGCAGCAGCTAACGAGCTGGCTTTGCACTGCCAGGAGCACGGAGGGCAAACAGACCAGGTGAGCTCCCACTATTTCAGTGCAGCCGAAACTGCAACAGTTAGACGGGATGCCTGCCCAGGACACACAAAACCAAGGGATTTGAGGACAGTTTGGCCGCTGGCATTCAGCTGTTGGGAGCCACAGGAATCAGGATGTAGGAATTTGGGTCTTTGTTTCAGGAACATTCCTTGGAAAGTGTCTGCGCCGGATGCGAGATGCTCCCAAATTCCTCGTCTTATCTGCGCCCGGCGCAGCGGAGCCTCTGGGCGAGCCCGAGCCCCCCGCGGCTGCCGCTGCCGGGGGAGTCCGCGCTCATCACACGGCAAATTCCTCCCGTTACCCGCCTCCCGCTGGGTCAGCCCGGGATGCGGCGGCAGCGCCGGGTCCCCCTCCCAGCCGCGGCTGCCCGCGCAGGGGCAGCGGAGCGGCGCTCGCAACTCGGGCATTGCGCGGGCGCGGTGAGCGGCGGCACTAAGGTGCCGCGCTTGAAGAAAGAAAAAAAAAGAAAAAGGAATAAAAAAAGAAAGAGCAAAAAGAAAAGAAAAAGGAATAAAAAAAGAAAGAGCAAAAAGAAAAGAGCGAAAAGAAAAAGGAATACAAAAGAAAGA